GATCGCTTTGATTTGCTGTTAGCTATTTTTTGTACTATGAATTGTCTCACAGTTGCCTCACTCGAGCAGCTAAAGCGATACGTCATACATATCAGTCGTAATCTCGTTACGTGGCTTTCCGTCTCTGTTCTAGGCGAAATCGTCAGGGAAACATAAGACAGTTAAATGCGACGCTCTATGTACATGCGACGATATCGATCATATATCATTTTAACGGCGATTTTGACCCATGGCTTCGTGACCGATATCATGTCAACAACGTTTTGCTACTTGCGTTCAGGCCCCGCTAGCAAAGGGCTAAATTTCCGAATCTGTTTAATACAAATAACCAAAAAAACATGTGATGATCCTGTTGCTTTCTCACTTTGTTTTTATCAATTCACCGAGATGGAGATAGACAATAACTGAACGGCAATGTCTGACGGATGAATATAGCTGCTTACCTTTGGTAGGCCATCCAAAATTGTTTGCTAATCTTCTACGTCCATCCAAGAATGCTTATGGTAATTAGAGCGCTACTGCTGAAAAATTCCAGCTCTTATAAAAGACCGATGTGGACAAAGGGCTGGTTTTACATTTTAGGTTAATACTGAACCAATACCTCTGAAACAAAATCATTCTGTTATTTTCTAAGAGTGGAATTAAATCTTGATGCTTTCCATTGCCTCTTCGTCTACGGCACCCCCGAATACAGCAGAACGCTCCACTCGTAAGGCTAACGTATGTGACCGGACAAATCCACATTCATCGCAGCATAGCAAGTGAAGGGCTTGAAATCTTCTTAGAAACAAAAACTTCCCACTCAGCCGTAACTGCAATAAGCATAACTTGTAGGTAAAACCAAAATGTTTCTTACACGTTGTTATTTTATTCCGCGCCATACGTCGCTCGGACTCCGTTCAGTTCAGAAGCTAGCGAACCTCCGATCAAATAAAAAAAATATATGTAGCAGATCAAATTGAAGAAACCAAAAAATTGCAAAGGTTAGGTAATATTCTTTTGGACTCACTACTCATACCCATGCAATGAATGAAATCAGATAAAATGCGTAAGAAAGATGTCAAAATAAATTGTGCTTGGACCTTTTCCTTCTACACAACGTCGATTCTATTCAACGTGCGTTTATCAATTTCAACTCCCATTTTCACATAAATAATATTTAGAGGTTGTTCTTTAAGCGCCTGTCACACAAACGCCAATTTGGAACATCTGCCTGTACGGAGTGCCTATGTGCCGCAGAACCCTAGGAAAATCGGAATGACCAAAGTATGAAAAAGGCTTTCAGACAATTAGTTACAAATAAAGCGGGTTAGTTCGTTACTCGTAGTTCGTCCAGCGGAACCGAAATGCCTAAAAAAATAATATAGCATATAAAAAGCTTGGACCATGACAATCAAACAAAGAGTAAGCGAAGTTAACTAGTAATAGCATGTAATAGGTATCGCTTCGTTGCAGAAAAGGGAAAGATTCAGGAGGCCCAACGTAATGGAGTACAGGAGATGGACGAAACTGTATCCTTTCAAGACAGGTGCATGTGTTTGACGAAAGACTCGAATTTGAACTCTGTCCAAACAACTTTCCAACGATGACCCTATACCCAAATTAAGGTGTTACAAAAAAAAATGTATAGAAAGAGAGGATAGAGGAAGGAGGAGGGGTGCGTAGTACCTAGACATTCGAGGGCAACGATCTTGCTTTGATCGAATCTTGTTTTAAGTTCTCTCCAAAAAAACAGCGAGCGACCTAAAATGTTTCACCCTAAAAAATAGAGAGTTACAGGCGTTTACAAATCAAGAGTTAGGCCTAGATATCTAGCTCTCAGATAACCTGAACGGATATAGAATCGATTAAAATAATATTTTCACGCTAGAAATACACCGCCACTTATATAGGCGACTCTGGTCCCATTATATAATTAAATATCAAGTCCTGAGTCTAAATAATGCCTTGCGCATAGTGTATATAATGGCAGCGTAGCGTCTTTCGAAAAAAACTTTTATCCTCACTTTCCAAGTAAGCTCGTTTGAAATCAGTAGAGAGGGACTTTCATTTTCACACCAGTTTTGCTGGGCACTATATACAACAGTGTATAGGACTATTGTATTGTGTTAAATATTTTACGGAAATGATGGCAATAGTTAGAAACATTATCTCCCCATTATTCATTCTATAATATGATTAGATAATTAGATAATAGATAATTAGATGAGGAAAGGCTGCGTTTATTTGCATCCTGCAGACGAAGGTGTTCATCGTAAAGCCGCTATTTATTGGTTGCTAATAATTGAGTAAAACGTATTCATTGATACGTTTCAGATAACCCCCATGTTTTTTTTTCGAAAACGATACTCTGATCAACTACTTGCAACTGTCAAAAGATATTTTTCAGATCTAAGTAGCCTTTTATGTACAGAATGTATGGTATCATAAATTTGATCTGTACTTCTTTTGGATTTGGACGTTCCTTGTATACTTTGCTACTATACATTGGGTAAACTTAGGTCGGCCGAACATTATTTGCGTCGCCGTTAATGACACACCTGAACGGGTGTCAATATACCAATACAGATCTTAGAGGCGCCTACATGTCATTGTTTATGTATAGATTAGAAAGCACAGCTATGGAACTCGATCAGACAATGAAGTAGAAATAAGGACGAATAAGTGTTTCTAAACAAGTCCCTGTTATAGCTTTGTGGATAATTTATTTGCATGCCGATTTTAAGGCCACGCTGTATTCTAGAATCGAATTCGGACATAGACGCACCGTAATTGGACCACAGCCAATATACGCTATATCTCGCTGAAAAAGGGTAAACGAAATGCTTAAATCCTTTCCTATTCAAATACTGTATACTTCCAAAAACAAAAGACAGATATTTCAAAGGCAACTTTGAAGTTTTTTTTATGAAACAACGATAATTAGGTAGTCGAACCAGGGCCGCCCATAGACCTAAAAAATGTTCGATATGTGGTGCGGTTCACTACTACGCGGGTTCATATGAGGACCTTTACAAGATCCGATATCATAGGTAGTGCGATCAGAGTCTACATTATAAATAAAAGGAATGATTTCAAATAAAAGAAGGCACAATTTAATCTCTCACAGTGTTCCTTATGTTGGTTTAGGCATCAATAACTGAATGCTACCCGTTTATCCTAAATGGGTAGCATTCAGTTATTGACTATAAAGAGAAAGACAGTATAAACATGTGCTAGCAGCATCAAATAATGCTGTGAGAACTAATCTTCGGTCAAAGCGCTTGGTTCACTATACGCTTCAAATTGCCCCGGGGTTTTAACAACGTTGTTCAGCCGCTTCCGCTCTGCAAACAAGAGAAACGATATATTGTCTTTCATTTTGAACAAATGTTCTACGATGCTCGTTTATAGAAGTTAATAACATCTTCCTTCATTGTGGCCTGGTTATTTGTGGTGGCCGGAGTTACGCCTCATTCAAACAAAAATTATGGAAAAGTGTGCGCCTGACAGTGAGTTACCTTTCACCTCAAGTGAACTTGTTTATTCAGTCACATGTTTTAGTGATCCGGAAACAGGAATCGAAATGGCAATACATGCAAGTGATAAACAACTAATAAGGGCTTGAAGCTGAGTTGTAACTGCAATATAAGTTGTGATTCCAAAAGAAAGTTCAGGAATTGTCTGTATACTCTCATGGGATATCTATTTTTTTTAAGCCAAGAATCGTCCCTCAATGCCCATGTTCATAGAACCTCAGATATCCTGTATTTCTATAATAAACTCTTTGAAATTATTTGCGGTAGCACTTAAGAAAGCGTGCGCGTGTTCTCTACGAATCAAATTATTTTTTTTCCAAAAAACTATCTTTGTGAGCCCTGACCTTATAGTGAGCAGGCCTCGTTTAAGTTACTCGCATTCAAGGTACTCGAAAACGAAAAACTTACGTTATAGACCGAACTTTGCTAAATAACTAAGTAAATGTATTAAGTTCAAAGTTTTACATCTGGCACTTGAGTCACTAGGCATTGTTTTAAATGGCGAGTGCCCAGAAAGAGGAGATGAAATTAAATGCGCCCACTTTCGGATTCAAACCACACTTGTAAACGAACGTGTTACCACCACACTGTCACGCGGACGCGGCCATAAGTAAATATAACAAAAGATAAGACTTCTCGATAAATGACAGAAGCATTAACATGAAAAATACACGCAGCTTGTCCTGTACAAGTAGATTAGATCAGTTATTTGCAGCTCATGTTTTAATTAAGTTCTGTTAGTTTCTCCATTAAAGGTTGGCTTCTGAACTGGGCCTTTATGATTTTGGATTGTTTTATTTACAGCTCAAAGCACGCCTCATTATTTCGAATAACGAAACGTTTTTATATAACGAAATGATATAAACAGGATACTCTGGAAAGGTATTGTGCAGGGAAATTGGGAACTTTGTAACAAAAGGGAAGACGAAATCTCTTTTAAATCGTAGTTTTGTGTGGATGGTTTCTATATTGATGCGTTTCTATGCTTAGAAACATTGAATAATTATAACCTTAGCTTGTCTTAATCTCTGGTTTATTCAAACGAGTGTCCTTGACTATTTTATATGTAAGTAAATTATATATCGTTTTTATACTCAGTCCACGAACACATAAAACAACGGTAAACACTAAATAAACTTACATAAAAACAGAGGATTTATTTTAAATTTTAAAAGCTTAGCCAAAAATAACTAGGGTATAACTATAGGATAAGGAGAATATGTCCTACTAGAATCTTTCCGCCCAAGTATAGGTCTAATTTGTCTAGTGATCTGCATCAAATTGAATTTAAACGATATGTAATGCTCATCATCAGCGTACCGTTATTAGTTAAGTAATGAGTTTCCGTGCGTTTGTTCGATCCGTGATAGCGCATTGACCTCTCCACCTATTCGGTGGTCGAACGGAAAGAAAGCTGCCAGATCGTTTAAACCAAATACACGATCGCATGACGCGCTGCGAAGCAGTCGTAACGCTGGTGGCAGGTGTCGGTTTTTTGGCTCTATCTAGCTGAAATCGTCTGTCATCCAGCGATCTGGAAAGGGCCAAAACGCAGAAGGAAGCGCGCAGTGCTGGCAGAACACGGCTTTGCTCACCAGCGCAGCTGAAGACTTTGGGGGTAGCAGCAGGCACCTCAAACTCGCGCAGCGACCAAACGACGTGAGCCGCATCGTTGATATCCCGTTAGGGAGTGAACAGAACTTTTCGAAACTGCTATAGTCCGTTCTTAAAGCAAGTGTCGTACACTAAAAAGAGTACACTTTGTTCTCATCAGACAACTACGAACAGAGACTGTGTTGTTTCAGTTTATAGTAAACCGTTGCGATTCTGCGAATACAAAGTGGAACTCTTCAATTCTGACATACTGGAACTACTAAAAATTTGCCTATACTATTGGATAGTCAGAATGCGTACGACGTGGTGTGTCATCATTTTTCTAGCTGCGCTTTTCCAAGGTTAGTTCCCATCTAATCTAGTCCAGTCAAATAAAGGAGCTGAAATCACATTGTCTATTAACGAAACAGCGCATTATAATTCGTCCCTTCTTCTCTGCGAAAACAGAGCACACATCTTTAAGGTCCTGCCATATATCTATAGAGGCAGTTTTCTAGCGTCATTCCTTACGAGTATACATTTGAAAATTCTGTCTCCAATCTGCTTCATAGCTAATGCGATAACTTACCCGCATAGAATATTAACACCACAGAATATAGAAGTTTTGAATTTGTTTCAGATCTGCACTCACTATAGACCCATGCTTCTGTGTGGCATATGTGTAACATATTGTAAACAAGTGTAAATATGTAGAGTTATTTTGAAAAATTTATAAATGTATTTTTGACGCTCGGAGGCATATCACAAGGCATACGAATAGGATTGATTATTGATCCACATAAGGCCACATGTTGTATTTACCTTGTAGGCCGCCTTTATAAAAATGATTGTAGTCTCACTTCCTAATTGAGCTGAACGGTTCTACACGAATGTAAATGAGATATGGTAGAAAATAAGACACTAGTAAAAATGTGTTAGGTGTATTTGATTGACTTTAGACGTTGAAGAAATAGATATCTATATGCTCATTGTTATTGTTGTGGCTATCAAAATGAACGTTTAACCGTCACTGGGTTTCTCTGGTTAGTTTATTATGTTTCTACGTCTTTATTCTCTACCGTCTACTTCCCACTCCATCATGTTAAAGCCTGGGCGTTGTTTCAATATGATAACTATAGCTATGATATGGATACTGTCACAAAACGACTGGGGTGATCATTGTCGAATGCTACAGCGGTAACCACTGTTACCCCCCCCCCCCCCAAAGTCACCTCCCGTTACTAGTTATAACGCGCAACACGACTACCGCTTCTCTCGCTCCTATAGAGTTTTAACTCATCCGTCACAACAGCATCCCATCATCACGAGTCGCCAATCATCCTTTTTTGAACGAATCCGATCGCAACGATGGTCGACGACCCAGTATCAACAATAGCTCAACTTTAACTGGTAACGACTATTGCAAGATTGAATTGGCTTGGATAAAGCACTTAGTTCTCGCGAACACGTACACCAAGACTTTCTCATGTATCAAACAAACGGCGACGATAGCTCTCAGATGTGATTTTTTCTTAATATAGATCTTTTTTTTTTTTTGTATAAAGGGCCCATGATGTATTTATGAAATTGTTTTTTTTTTCACTGAAGTTAATGAACAAATAAATATTGCTAAATGTATGTAATAAGCTAAAGGTACAAAGTTTGTTTTGTCTAGGGAACCCAGTGCTCAATTCAAGCTTACAGTAAATAAAGGAGTGTAACCTCATATATTGGCGACGTGTTAATAAAGCGAAGCAGTTTCTCGTTTTTAGAACTGAACTAATAAAACTAAGATGCAGTCCAAATAATTTTATTATATACTTATATTATAGTTTAGAGGTGTGACAACATTATCGCACTTTAGATCTAATTCAGAATTCGTTTTCTACTATTACCTAGTGAAAGAATATAAATATTCGTAAAGATAGTTTAAAAAATTTAAACTCAAGCTTATACTAAATATTTGTTTGATTATTTAATACACGCGTGGCACCTTGTTGTTCGTAACCTGAGAATTAGCATTGATCTGGTTTGTCGCTTTTTGTAACTTTCTCTTTTCTTTCTTCTTTTTCTGTAAATAAGTCGCATAATTAAAATCAATTTTGCCGAGCTGTTTGCTTTTGTTGACTTTTAATGAAGTCTCAATAGAATCATTTGTTACAAAGGGCGGTAAAAGATGCGTACCTATGCTACCCCGTGTGGAGTAATTTATAAAACATGCTAAACGAAGCATTCGTTTAGAGTAAAGCTTATCAAAGTGATAATAGTTTCCCGAAAAGCTCATTACTTTGATTAGAATCTTTGACATCGTATATCCCGCTATGAACTGAAGTCAGTTCTTCGTACCGAACTTTTGGGGGGTTTGCTTCCTGTTCTGCTAATTATTTAGAATTTTGATAAAATTTGAGCTATTGTTTTTAACGATTATGTGTACGATTAGAGCACATGAACATAGGTCCGAACGCAGCGTGTGTGTCCCGTTGTACTTTTTCGGTAGAATTCTGTGACCTTAAATTTGCACCTTGCAGTAACTGCGCACGGCCAAAGCTGAGCATACTCAGCCACTACCTTAGAACTGGCTACCGCCGTAACGCTATACATCAGTCACATGGAGCTTCTGATTTGAGGAGATCAAATAATTCAGCTTCTGTCTATCGATCCTTCATTCAGCAAATGACAATACCATTGGCTCTCAATAGCCGACGAAGCTTCCTCCTATGTTTTTTACTCTGTTCATAATAATGCTCTTAGATTTATATACGGTGGGTGATATTTGCAAGATAATCGAATTGACTTGAGGGCCACAAACAAATGTATATTAGGTATAAATTACATTACTCTTTACATATATAACCATAGAAGAAGAGTCTGGAATTATAGCAAGCTGAATTATTATATATCTGTTCCAAGAAAATCGACGTGAACAAAGTGGTAAATCCACTTCATACTAATAATACCTTACTCCTTTCAACCGACAGTGTAAATACAGGAAAAAAAGGCTCCTCAATTTCTTTATCGTATTTTTTTCAGCGAGGATATTTTAGCTATCCTGGCGCGAGTTCCATACAATCTTAATATCTCGCTGTACGGACACTACTGCTATAGGCACCAACGATAAAAACGATTTTTCCAGGCGCTGTTAGAGACATTTCACCCATCACCTCAACTCGAATCAGTCCCCAAGTTTTTGTGAAAACAAGCACCATTTCACTTCTAGAAAACGTCAATTAAAATTCCCTTAGAGAAGAACGTATAGCGCGCTTGTATTCGGAAAATTACATTATTTTTTCGATGCTTCTTCTTAAATGTTTTTTTTTTTACATTTGATTTCACAAAAGATGAACGAGTAGAGAGGAGGCAAACATTTCCAGATTTGTAGTAGTTCGTGCCATCTTGTTAAGTAGTATTCTTAGTGGGCCAACTGCTGACGGCAGCGTAGATGAAATCAGAACTCCAATCCGCTTACTTTCACAATAGTAATACTGCATGCACTGAAAGAAGCAGGCACTCAAATCTAAATCTGTACCCGTTTATAACACGGCAATGTATTGCCCATGTATCCCGATTGCTTTTCATAGGACTTACAATCTATGTACAATTCAAGTGATTCATATCAACTCTGTATCGCCATGTTAGTTAGCTCTAAACAGAATCATTGAAGGTCAAATGGTCGCTGTCTGGAGGAAGTCGGGTCAACGCAATGTTTAAAGGAACACAAAGCGGAAATGTGTACGAGACCCAGTTGTCAGACGTCTATATGGGCCAGATGTCACAAACGTCACGACAATCCTCTATGCTAGAATAGCTATAAGGAGAAATGCTAACGATTTACAATTCGGTATACGATTCACTGCAACAATAAAAGAAAAATACTAATAGATCAGCTGTGATATAGCTTCATATCATAACAAGAAGTCTCTGACTTCGTCTAGGGCTCACTTTTTTTCCAGTGTCAGTCGATCTCTCGTAGCCGAAATATTAGTTATAATAATTGTTATAAAAAAAAAGCCTATGACATTGTGTAACCGTTTTTCAAACGGCATGTCTCTATTGAGATGCTTGTTTCTCACATACAACATTTAAACCTTTACAAACCTGATATTGCAGAAAGGATAAATGGAAAAAACCATGTACCATTATAGTGCTTACCAAGGCTTGCTTTTTAACGAACAGATTTCTTTTAACTACCAGCATATTTTTGTAAACGTAAAATAATATTCGCTATATGTATCTACATATATATACATTTTACTCCGCTCTTATATTTTCCTTATGTTTACATTAATCTCTATTTGAACTCAAACCCGCTTATTTCGCATATGTATTTTTTCGAACGGATAGAATGCCATATTTCCTAATGCATAGTTTGTATCCGAGGTTGCCGATTTTGGTTACAAATTTTCTACTGTCCGCTCGTGTCATTTACGCAACTTTGTGGCTTCTAGTAGTGCCTGTCTACCAAGAAAAATATTTACAAAGTTGCATAACACGGATTTTCGCAAACCAGTAGATGTGTAACATTTTTTGTTTTCTAACAACTCCAATAGTGAACTCGTTTAAGAAATAAGTTAACTTCAGAGGCTAACGATAGCTTTTATAATTATCTATCTCCCATTTGTCTAATTTAGTTGCTGCCCAAAATTACTAGATCAAGAACGGGTCATCTAGACCTCACTAATATCTAGCTACAATGATACTTACTGCTAGATAATGTGCTGATGGTATCGTTATATTTGCGTATGAAATCATAATTATTTTTTTAACGACATTAAAAGATATTTATCTACGAAGAATTTCTTATTTACGTTTGTCTTTAAAGAAGATTGCATTGAGGCAAAAGAAACAATGGATTTTTATTAACAATAGATAAAAAAGTTTCGTACAATGAGCTTTCCTTCAAACGTGTACTTATAAAGCTTTTCAGATGCTAAAAGATAACCGAAAAATGGAAAGATGTGCTATTATTAGACGAAACATTTGAAGTTCTTCAGGACGTTGATTTGCTAATTTTCAGCCAGTCTCGTTAGTAATTAGTCAAAGTAAAATGGCCAACACAGCCAAAACCAGCAAATGTAAACTCTGCAGGATTTTCGTCACATGAACAAAAAAATTAATTTTGATTTCTCGACTGCGTGTGCAAATATTTGACCTTATTAACCTGCACGCGTTACTCCACAGAGGATTTACACAACAACTTCAAGGAGTCATGCGTATTATAAACGTTGTTACTAATGAGGCTTATGTCATTTGCAAATCACCACACATTCATGAAGCTCTAAGTACCTATAAAACTGATAAAATGGACATAAGACCTCGACAAAAAAAAGAATTGAATGAAAAAAATACAAAATGGAATTTTTGT